TAAATGCAAGAGGAGAGAAGGGAGGGAGAAGGATGAAGAAGAGGCCACCACCAAAACACCTGGCGAGCATCCTTCTCCTAGTGGCGCCTCTTCGGAGAAATTCCTTCCTTTTTCTTTCCTGGACCATTCCTTGGACGGGATCCATGGGAACCACTTTTGCAAGGTTGACACAAAGCGGCGTTTCCCTTTTATCTGAACGCGCATCCAATTGCATCTATCTGCCGCGGAAAAATCTATTTCATGAAACGTTTGAAATCGGGATTTCGAGACTGGGCGTGTCCTAAAAGTAGACGTTTCTTTGAGATGCGCATTTTTCGGAATGAAAGAATGAAAAATAACAAGAAAATAAAGTGGGTAAATAAGAATCCATGCACGATTACAATAAACAATATGTATATGTTAATTATTTTTATTCAGATATTTCGACCATCCTCAGAGGGTTATCAAAAAAAATCTATAAAGTTTCAAAACTCCAACTGGAAAATCATTGGCCGATGAGTGTATGTCACTTGAATGTAAAACAAGGAAATTGTATATATCTAGAATTAAAATTATAAGAAAATCGTGGTTGATTCTTAACGACAAGAAATTAGATGATTAGTCTACAAATAGTCAATCGTTGCAAAACTTTCGTTAAAATAATATGATGTAAGTAAGAATAATTATTATTACGAAATTGAAAATTACAGAGAGAGAGAGAGAGAGAGAGAGAGAGAGACCTTTCAGAAGGTGTGAATCTCTTTCTCTCTCTCTCAAAACCACAAAAGGAACGCATCTCATAACATCCTGTTTTCATCTCTTGTTCGAATCTTATTCGAGATATTGTGACGAGCAATCTTAATTCTGATCTTAATCTGGATATAAATAAATCCGACAGATCGTATACTAATCCGAGTGTATTTTTTCACAATTTAAAAGTTCTTTCAGGACAATGATTTTTCAGGCAAACTTAAGAATATTTTTTTATATCTTTTCATTGCACTCACAGAAACAACTTTTAATCTCGCATTGCAATAAATGAAAAAAATCGATTGAATGTGCGTGTTCACGCGATGAGAAAGAATCTCCTAACTCTGAGACATTTCTCATGAAATATCTCTCATAAAGAAGAAATTCTTGTTATCGTTCAAGGATTCGCATCTATTTTCCCTCTTATCCCAAGAAACTTCTCACGAAAAGAACACGTGGGTGATGTGAACGAAGAAGCTTCTCAAGAGACCGTCGTAGGAAGTGGTCGCCAATTCGTGACGTCACATCCGCCAAATAAATTTTTTACTTTTCAAACGTGTGTGCCTCTTTTCCGGTAGACCGAAAGTGCCTCTCGATAGCTCGATAACTTAAATCTCGATCATTTAAACTGCAATCTCTTTATTTCTTTCTTTTCATGTCTATGATTTGGAGGAGCTAATGATCTTTAAATATCCACCCTTCGTCGGGTATCGTGCACAATTATACACATCAAGATTACAATAACGACATCGTTAATGGCTCATTCGTTATTCCGCGCCAAGGAAACCAGTTCCTAAATCGAGAACACAGGAGGCAACTTCCTTATTGTCAGTCTTCGTGACTCACAGTCGTAGAAAATCAGGTGTCTGCGAGAGCAAAGCTCGTAGCTCGTAACCGGATAATTTGCATAATACTTTCGTCTAACGATCGAGCCATCTTTATGGTATTTTTTACCCCGGCGCAGTCGTGATAATCCGGCGTGGGAATCAAGAGCGTTTTCTGCTCTTTCTCTTTTCAATCAAATCGCTTTTCCTAGTTGCGACGCTCAACTGGTTCTCAAGTGCTCGCGCGAACTACTTGAACGTTTCGAATTGGTTCCGATAAATTGGCGGTCGAGATGACAGATAGAACACATATTGTTTTTAATCTCACAGTGAGATAAATTATTCACGCGATGTTGAAAGAAGATCCGATAAGACAAGCATGGTAAAGAATCTACATTCATCGCCAACCACACGAAACGCGATAAGACTATTGTAAATTAACTCAACTATTACTGTAGTAGTAACTCAACTACTGTAAATTAAATCAAATATATAATATTAATGTCAATAAATAGCCGATACCAGATGTATGTATGATTAGATTCTAAATATATCAATGCGCAAATATATCAATGGTAATCAAATGACGATCAAATAACAATATTACACTCATAACAATATTCGTAAGCATTTCTATCTTTCTTTTTAGGTATTTTGTCTTTAGTATATTATTGAATTTGAACTTTTGTTATAAATTTTATCTTAACTGATATAATCTATCGCAATTTTAATTTAAATAATTATTTACAATTGTTTATTGGTGGTACTGTAAATTAAATTAATATAAAATTTATATAAAAATCTTGCAAAAGAATCTTAAATTATTTTAATTAAGTATGAAAAAATTAAATATAAAAATCTTAAATTGATATAAAATCTTGCAAAGTAAAAAGTAAATGAAAATGAATTATAATTAGCGCGAGAGCTCAGTAGACGAACATTTCGTTCTGGAATATCAAATTTTGGATAACGATGGAATAAATTAGCAACATTCTTAGGACACTCTCAGACCTTCTTAATTGCCAAACAACACCAGGGCCGTACTAATTAACTCGATGGCGTTGAGAATATCCGGACATCATGAGAAAACCGTCTTGCAAACTTCGTGAGAACGCACTTGAACTCCACGAAATAGCGACGCGACTCTACCGCTCCGATCGAGATAAAAAAAGATTCTCGCAGCCTTCCGGGAAGATTTATGCACACGTATCATTATGATACCCGGCCAGGATTGTTCCTCGTGAACTGATTGTAATTAAAACCCGCTTATCTTCGCTCGAAGATCAAAAATCATCTGTTAACATTACACGTGAAGTTTTTAGTAATTCCAATTTTTATGAAACAGGATTATTTCGTTAACAGTTTATTAGATTTACATATAATCTGTCAACATTAATTAAATAAAAAAATTTCATTTTCTTGTGTCTATAAAAATTGTCTATGAAAAATTGCTGATTTATTTTTCGATTTTGAAATTTATTGATTGTAATTTGATTTATTTATCAAACATATTTCTGAAAAATTCAAATTAAACTGAGAGAAACAATTAAAGTTATCGCAAAAATAAAATAATAGCGGCAAGAAGACAATTTTGCAATGGGATGATTCGAAGTGTATAATTTCGAAACAGGCTTTTGCAGAGACATGAACACTTTGTGAATCATTTTACGCGTTAACGAGTGTCTGCCCTCCCTCGCATTTTCCACCAGTTTCTCGCAGTGTTTTCGGAGAGAGAGAGAGAGAGAGAGAGAGAGAGAGAGAGAGAGAGAGAGAGAGAGAGAGAGAGAGAGAGAGAGAGAAAGAGAGAAAGAAAGAGAGACGCGCCTATTATCGTTTCCTTTCTGCACGTGCTCGTTACGAAACGCGTAGTACTCCACCGGGCATGACGACGTTCTCTGGCAATTATTCGGATTCATTACGTGCAGGAAGGGGACTTCCCTTCGGAAACCTCACTGTACGAACGTCAGCGGGGCACTCCACCGTAACCGGGGCCCAACGGACCCAAACGCCTGCGGCCGACTAGTTGCCCTTAAGCGTAATTTACACGGGGCGACTTTTATTCGCTAGAAGCCACAAGCTTCTAGTGACGTCATAGCGAATTCACTACTAAAACTTCTTCTAGACGTGAGTTTGTTCTTATAACGTATAGTCGCGGCGAATACTGCTTTCGACGCTTGTCGCTAGCTTGTCTCTAGCTTGTCGTTAGTTTCTTGCTCCTCCAGAGCGAATTTTTAAGTCGTCAGCGTGAAAAGACGAATTTTTCCGGAACGCCTCGACCACTCAAACTATAAGCATCAGAGAATAATCATATCATCGAATGACATACTTCGAGCCGCTGTTGTACTTTATGACCAACTATTCGCTTGAGCACTAGCAACTACTTAACGCTGCGACTTCAAAATTTTAATCGTTAGCGAATAAAAACCAAGCGTGTACAAGAAGCTTTTATCAGCGAATTTATTCGCGGAATTAAGAAGCTTCAAGCGAATAGCAGAGTCGAAAGAATTTACTGGCGAATTAATGACGTTTCTATTAATGACGCAGCTTTTAGCGAATAAAAATCGTCCCGTGTAAATCATGCTTTACTTGCGTGCGCTACCATACGGCAGCTGGAAAATCGTTCTCTTTTTTTTGCGAAATGATTCCTCCGAAATGCCAACGCTTTATCGTCGGGCATCGAAATATCGGCCCGTAATTTCGCACACAGTCATTCTTCACAAAGCTACAATCGGGTGCAAGATGTTCCGGATCTATCGCGTAATCTCGCGGTTCATCAAAATTTTCGGCGGTTCCGACTTTGCCTCAAAAATCTAATGGAAGATAATTCATTGTTGTCTTATAATTTCTTAAATGCAGTAGTCGTTAAATGTCGTCTTTATTAAGTTTCTATTGAAATTGACTTTAGACAAAGATTTCAGTTTATATTTTTGAAATTATCTTTTTATGTTGGTTTGGTAAATAACTTTTTAATTCTGGATCATTGATGCTTCAGCTCATTTCATTATCTACGAATTTATCGATTCCGAGTTTATTAAAGAACTCGTAAAAGGTATATTCCGTGTATAATCGCGACGTATATAATTTTATGAAAAGCGTCAACACACACCCTCTGTCTATTGTGACGATCAAGATGCGTCACGTTGGCGGATATTAAATCGTGAATGAAAGCCGTGCCATAACAAAGAATGACGAAAGTTCATCGTACTTTACTTAAGCAAAAGTAAAAGAGAAAGTAGGTAAAGATGGAGAGACGAATTGTGTTAGGTGGAAGGACCTAAAGTTCCAGTTCGCTGCAGATACGAACACCTGGCGTTTACCTGACCCGATAAAGCTCTCGATCTCTCGTCCAATAGCCAGGGAGCGAGTTTCGGGGCCCACTGGGCCCTCGTTTCAACGAGTACGTTGAACCTTCAACAATTCTAACGTCTCTCCCTTTTCGTGTTCCAGGACTTGCACGGTGTCGAGAGGAATGCTGCGCCGGTTATTGACATATCGCAGGACGTCGAAGTGATCAGCGGCACGCAAAACGGCAATCGTACCGTTGTGACGTTTGCTAGGAAGTGGAAGACGTGCGACCATCAGGATTATGAACTTACAGTAAGTCAGAAGGAGACATCATTTTATAACAATTGTATTGACTCTCGCTACGCGAAATGTTCATTCAAGTTTAATTGATCTTTCACTTCTCGAGCCTTGAGCAGCATGTCAATTAAAGCATAATATTATGTTGAACAATTGTTGCAAATTGAAAATAAGCAAAGAGAAAATGTTGTAGGAACGAATGATTGGGTCAAATGCTTAAAATTAAGATTCGCCGTGAGCGAACACCGTAAGGTACATTTTGAACGTCATTCTCTTCAGATTTAAAATAAATCTTATGAACTCTGCGATCTGCGGGGGTCTCAAATATACGTAATTGAAAGGAGTCATTCTCGAATGCCAACGGTGATGCAAGCGCGCATTAACGCAGCGAGGGCCAGGAATTTATCGCACCTTCCTTAACACCAAAATTACCTTCCGACCTCTAATCCGTTACTCTATAATTAAAATGCGTGCAAAGAAAGCAAATCTTGTCGTGCATATCTCGTCGGCCAAACAGGAGTCTTTTAAAGGGATCTGAAAAAGATAGAGAAAGAGAGAACAAGCATCGTCCGAAGATTTACTGTATTACCGTCACGACTCCGTAGAATTCGCGAACCTTCTTTCGATTTATGCTTTGAGAAGGCAGGGCCCCCGTGGCTTTAAGAGGCCCGTAGGGCCCCGTAGTCTCGAATTCTCGTAGCGGTATTTAGGCATTTTAGCATGCCGTCTGTGCCCTTCGCTGTGGCACAATCTTCCGGCGGCAACA